GATTGTGGAAATAATAGTTTGGATAATGATAATAGCAAGAAAGCCAAAAATTTGAAAGTTGAGCTTAAAAAGAACAAGTTATCTTGCAAACACATTGTATGTAATTATTGTGGTAAAGTAGGACATATTTCTCACTTGTGCTATCATAGAAGAAATTCTTGTATGAGAAATAAATCGGTTTGGGTTGTCAAAAATTCTATGAATGTTATTCCTAACCCTCAAGGACCCAAGATGAAATGGGTACCAAAAAGTCCTCCTAGCTTTTCCAATGTGCAGAAAATTATTCAAAATGATGGACAAAAAGGTCAAGAGAAAAAGAAATCATCAAGGAAAATGCTTCATAGGCCTAATAATGGAATTATCAATCAAAGAAGTAATGGAACTTCAGCCAAAGCTTCTCACATGCACAAGATGGAACCCAGAAGGTTCAAAATCCAAAAAGAGAAGCAATGGATAAGAAAAAGTCTCCACTTGATTACAAAGGCCAAGGTATCAAATATCTTTACCTCTTATGCTTATTCACATGTGAATCCAATGAATATGATGTATATACCCTTTAGGCCTTAGGTAATGGATAAAATCATATGTGCTTGGTTTGAATGTTGAAAATTATGAATGACACATGATTATATCTGTAGTTGTTCACTTATATTTTGATTTCTGATACAGCTGAATTGTTTTACGCATATTTTGAGTTACATAAATCGTTTTTAAGTGAGACCAGTGGTCATTGAAAGCTATCTTGATAAACTTTAATTCTGGAAATTTTCATAATTTTTAGTCAAGTACAATGCTCCCAGAAATCTCGTGAACATGACTGTTATGTCATAAACTCTGTTTTTGACTAGTTTACTTAAAATGAGCATAACTTTAGTTATACAAATCCTTTGAGCATGAAACTAGTGGCATTACAAAGATAGCTCAATCAAGTTTAATACTGGAAATCTTTAGAATTGTTGTATATGTACATTGTTCCAGTTGGTCAGGTGGTATTCGAATACTTTTAAGTAGTATTCGGATACTTTTTGTCTCAGTATTCGAATACTTATAAACTGGTATTCGAATACTTGATGTTGAAGAAAAATATTCGGATACTGCAGTACAGAAGGCTGTCAAATACTCTATTTCTAATGCAGTAAATTCAACTGATCATATCTTGAGCTATAGAACTCTGATTGGCATGATCTATATCTTGTTAGAAAGCTATAGATGAGTACTATAACATAAGAAAATTTAGATTTATGAAGTACTGATGAATTCCTCGCTTTAATTACAAGATTACAGGTTTATGAAAAACAAACTATGGAATTGTTATTTACTATGTGCTTAATGCTAAAGTGATTATTTAACTTATTATGCTCAATTTGTGTGTGGTATTATTGATCTTTATGAGAGCATAATGAATTGATGATCAATGACTAACCTCTTTGGATCCAAAGTGGATACCAAAAGTGTTTTGAATTATAGGATTATAACTACCTCAAGAATGTATTCAAATGAAATAAGTTTATTCAACTTGAGGCTTGGAAAGCATGAAAGTATCCAACATCTAAGAAGAGATGCAAGCATGATAAAGTATAAGGATATCCATGATAATCTCAAGGAGCCATTGTCTAAATTGAAAGAATTTAAATTTGGTGACTTCTATCCCTCTTTGTTCTCTAAATGTTATATACATGATAATTAGGGAATTCTTTGGGATTTAGTTGATATGCTTACACATTCTATTGATTGTGTTACTCTAGCAATATGTCCTAAATGTTATTATATATGCTAGTAGGCACATGTATTTGTTACAATAACATGATAATCTTTTTGAGCTTGAACTTTAGAGTATATCCTTGTTTTTACTTGGAGTTATACATGCACAAAAATGATTTCACTTATTTGTTATGTGATTAGTTGTATCACATGCTTACTTGAAGATTAGGAAATTAAATATCTTCTTGTATTAATTGCTTGATATATGTCACACTCTTTGAAACAAGAAGAATATGATTAAAATGCTAATTCCATGATCTTTCAAGTATTGGTTTTTGTATCTTTTAGATTGGCATGTGGTTGTGTTTAAAATTGTTCATCTATAATAACATGCCTTATATGATCATTACTTGCTTCAAAATGTTCCAATATGTTTTGATGATGGCCATATATTTCTTGCTAATCTTGAATCATGCTTTGATTATGCTTAAATATATATTCTAAGATTCAAGAGCATATGTGCTTCATTTATGTTTGAATATATATTTATGGTTGATAATATGATAAATGGCTTATGTTGTACATCAATATAATTTATGCTTGAAAACGTGCTTAAATGATATTTGTTGCTAACCTTTAATTTGAAAAGCTTTAAGAGTTAATTCTACAATTGGTAATCAAATATGGCAACCAAATATTGGAGTGCCAAGCATATGTGAACAAAGAAAGAGATGAATGAAGACCACCAAAAGAGACTTTCTTCACTTGCTCACAAATGGAAAACTCAAAGGAAGAAAGCTCAAGTGGCTAGGATCTCCATGAATAAGGAGCATCACATCGTATTTGATCCCGATAAGTATCACTATCCCTAATTCTTATGGAATTTTATAGTATGGATGATATGATACTTGTTCCTTCGTTACATGAGAAATATGTTTAGCATGACAAAAATGTATAATTAGATCTTATATCTTGAATTTTGTCATTGCATATAGAGTAAACCTTGTTCAAATATATAAGTATTTTGATTCCAATAGCATATTTCCGTAACATGGAACTTTAATTAAAAATCATCTTGCTTCTAAGTGATACAATTCTTATGAAAAAAAATTTGTTATAAAATGAGCTTTTGACTTGATTTTAAAGAAAAATCCCTTATGTCATTTAAAAAAAAGGGGCTTTTGAAAACCTTATACCCTTGAGAACTATTTCAAGATGTTGAAAGTATCTTTCACTCTTTGGTTATCTTGAAAATTGGAAAAATGTTTGGATACATGATTTAAATGTAATAGTCTCTCTACTTGCTTTGAAAAGTGCTATCAAATATTGAGAGCCAATTTAAGGAAGTTCCAAACATCAATATTTTGAATTGATTTACGAATGTGAACATTTGAAATATTCAAAAGATAAGTCATAGTCTTCAAAATTTCTATATTAATTGAAGGCTTTTTAACTAATGAGAAAAGGAGGAGAGATGTTTTCAATATTCTTTTGATTACACTCAAGGGATATGTTTTCTTAAATGGAAAAAGTCTTTATCTTTCTTAAAAGTTTTTTTAAATAAGAATTAAGTTTAAGAATGTCTATACTTAATGGATTAAGAGAAAGTACATTTTTCCAAGCTCTTATTTATGATAATGTGCTTATATGGTTCATTGTAAGCGACCAGATCTTCATTTAGTACAAAATCACTACAAATGTTTTTGTTAATATCTTGTCCACATTTGCTTCATATTATTATCCTTCTGACTTCCAATCAAGGAGAACAAGAGTACCGCGAAATGATGATGGAGGTGAAAGTTCTATTAATCCTCCAGTATCAATTTTTAACTACCCTGGTCGTTCGATTGGACAAGGTACGAAGTCCACCTTGGAGGAGAAAGAACTTAAGGCAGCACATTTATATATTCTCTTAAATTGTCCTGAGGTGGAGCCATACATGGAGTAAGTCTGCATTTCTTAGTAACATGTACCATTTAGGTAATTGTCATTAAACTATATAATCAATTGCAATTTCATGCAGTATGTACTCAGAAGTTGTTCGAGAAGAACATCCTGACATCACTGATATTGACTTAAACTCCAAAATTTCAGCAAATTTTCCAACCTGGTTTAGGGATTATGTATGTCAAATCATAATTCGTTTGTTCAATTATCCTTAAAATATTGTCAGGTTTCGTTAAAATGGTGTTTCCTAATGTAGGGTTTAAAGTAAAAAAATACAATTGGTGATTTACTACTGAGCATGGCTATGGGTCCCAGCAGAGAAGTGAACAAGTATTCCAAGTATCTCATCCATGGCTACAAGTTTGTAACTAAAGAAAACAATGATGGGATGAGTACAACAAACTATGGTGTTTGTGTTAGAGGTGGCCAATTAGAGAACTTGGAAAATGACTTCTACGGGGTATTAGTTGATATTGTTGAAGTAGACTATTTTTGTTGGCCACAGAAAAAGTTGACATTATTTAAATGTGATTGGTTTGATCCTAGTTCCCAGGGGACGAAGAGAGATAACTACGGCAATGTAGAAGTCAAACCGTCTATGAGATACAATATGTATGACCCATTTATTCTTGCTCAACAAGCAGAGCAAGTGTATTACACATCATATCCTGAATGTCAACAAGGCTGGTTAGGGGTTATAAAAACCAAGGCACGGAGCATAATTCAATCTTCGGTAAATAGCAAGCAGAAATAACCGATGCATACCAAGAAGATGATGTACAACATATGGCTACAGTTGTTGCAAATGATGATATGTTTCAAAATCTAGTTGACACTACTATTTTAGTAGAAGAGCTCCCCATTCATATTAGCCAAGTTCATGAATTCGGAGAAGAGGAAGAAGAACATGTTCAATTCTTAGCCACTTCAGATGAAGAAGAAGAAGAAGAAGAAGAAGATATGGACGAAGAGACTGATGAAGATGAATTATCCGAAGAAGATGAAGATGATGGAGAAGAGACTAATCGTTAGAGACAAACCATCCTTTTAGAAGGTTTAGACTAGTAGGAATGTGAGGGGGCAAAACATGCAATTGGGTAGCTAGTTTATGTATAGGGAGTTATTAGGTGAATGTATGGGATCTAAAAAGTGTCTCACAGAAGGGAAAAGTTCCATTTTTTGGAAATATGTATATGTAGTTATTTGTGTTCACAATTTAATATTCGAGATCTCATATTTTATTTTATATTTCCCTCAGTAACACTCTTTTATATTTGTGCATTGTATTTATTGCCTTTTATCTATAATGCTAAAATATGTGACTTATTGTTATTACAATTTCATCTATATAGATGTCGTCAGGTAATGGTATACGTAGAGGAAACACTCCTAGAGGTATTAGTAGAGGCCGCGGTAGACCACAACGGGTAGGCAGAGCAACATCCTCTTCCCCGCAGCTAATTTCATCACAACCTTCTCCACCAACCTCCAGGCTTCGTACCCCAACACCAGATCCTATCACTGAGTCCACGGAGGATGCACGTCAGGTTCTCCTATTAGTGGTTTGACATGTTTTTCATGATTATTTATTCAATATTTGCATCATATAATTTGTTTTAAACTATGCTACATACAGGTGGTTAGCCCATCTCCTCTCCCTTCGTATGGCGCAGAGTCCAGCGCAGCAATAGCAGGGAGTCATCCAGTTTGGGGAAGCACAGATCCTACTGATAAGAAAATTTGGATATGTCCCCTCCGGACAACGTAAGTGATTAATAGTTTTCATCAAGTCAAATTAAATTGTTCGTTGTAGATGAATTGGTAATTGTTTGCCACTCTTTTCACAGGTTTGAGCCTTCGTGTGTGAACCGTGAGATAATGCCAATCATTAAGGGTAACTTTGACCAATCTTGTGAATCATATGGGAATTGTTCTGTCGATATGCGTGATCTGTGGTATGAAAAATTTCTGGTTTGTACACATTGTTTATTTTTGCCTTTCTATATTTTTTAAATGGTGATTGTATTTTTTATTAACCCAAAACATTGCATTATTGTTGTATGATTTATAAATTCAGCAAAAGTACAAATGTCTTCCACATGATGAGAATATGATGAAGAAGACTTTTGATTCCAAAGCATCAACTTTGTTGTCACATCACTTGCATAGGATTCGAAATGGGCAGGAGAAAGACACATGGATTAAGGATGATGCTTTTGCTAACATAAAAGAAATATGGTCTTCAGATGAATGGCAAAAAAAGTCTCAAAAAAACAAGCAAAATAGAGCTTGTTTTGAAGGAGCTTCCCATGTTGGAGGCTCCATTCCATTTAGCGAGCACAAAAAAAGATTGGTAACTAATTTAAATTTTAAGTTTCAATAATTATAAAAAATTATTCAATGTTTCTGTTATGTTTGATTGGCTGAATTTTTGTATTGCAGATGGAAGACCCTGCAATAGATCCAAATTCAGTAGATTGGTTGCTATATGAGATGATGCATATAGTTAAAAAGGATGGTTCGTGGACTTCCCAGAGATCAAAGGAAGTTGCTGTAATTTTCTTTCCATTACCTATAAAGTTATGGACATTGTTGACTTTAGTCACCTTTAGTATACTTGATAATAGAATTAAATGTGTGTCTACTTAAAATTATGATATGATTAAATTTTGCCTTATAAAGCAAATTTGGTTTCTGACTTGTAATCTTTGTAAGGTTCATTAAGTGATGTTGATAACTTGATTATGTTTGTTTAGTTGCTACCTTGAAAGCAACCTAAATACGTTCATTTATAATTTATAGTTATCATAATGCATGATATTACTTGGTAATTTGCATAGATATGTTGGCAGAAAGCTATACGTATGTTGCTACCTTTTATTGGAACACCTTTTTTTGAAATATCTATATGTTTATAGAATTGCCACATGTATTGATGACTAGTGTAATTTGTTTATTTTCAGGATAAATTCTTTGAGCGGAGGAATGAACATGATATGGTGATTGGAAATGATGCATCTACTGGCCAATCTGATAATGAATTATTCCTGCAGACGGTTGGGGGTATGAGCAAAAAGGGCCGCATTTTTGGTTTAGATTCAGAGGCGAGTAAATACAAGGCTTCACAGAAGTCTGCTAGTTCGTGTCAAGGAGTCTCTGCAAATGAGTATAATCGTATGAGAGATCTAGTGACAACCATTTCCACCTAAAATCAAGATTTGCAGACAGAGATGGCTGTTATGAAAGAGCAGTTGATGATTTTGATGGCTCATGTCTCTATGCCCACTGTTACACCTCCTGCTCGTGAGGCACACAATGAGGTTCAAGTTGGTGATGATGCGGAAGATGATGTCTATGATGCTGAGTTACACGAAGATAATTGATAGTTATTTTATGATCTTTAAATACATTTTGTGAACAGTACCTATTAGTTGATATTGTAGTTTGATACATTTGGTATTTTTGCTTTTATGATACTTTTTATCATTAAGACTTTTTAGCTATTTGATTATGACTATGATGACTTGTATGATTATAATTTTTATAAATTTCAAACTAGCTTTGATTGATTATATGACTTTGATGATTTGTATTGTGATGATTATCAGGTATAAATCTTGTTAAAAATTTTTTGAAATATTTTATTAAATATATTTTGAAAGTAGGGATGGAATTAGGGACGGAAAAATTCAGTCCCTAATATTTTGAAAGTAGGGATAACAATAGGGATGGACAAAGTTTGTCCCTAATAGGGACGGATAAAAATTTCCTCCCTAATAGGGACGGAAAAAAATTTCATCCCTAATAGGGATGGACAAAATCCGTCCCTAATAGGAACGCACAAAATTCTTCCCTAATTTCGTCCCTATTAGGGACGGATTCTTACCTTTTACAACTCTTAATTGTCGACAACATTAGGGACGGAAAAAACAAGTCAGAGACGAATTTTATTCCGTTCCTATTAGGGACGGAACTAAATTGTCGTCCCAAAACATTAGCTAGGAGCGATTTAGGTAGAGACGGATTTATGGCTTTTAGGGACGGAATTTGTGCGTCCCTAATATCAGTTTTTTTAGTAGTGGGAGAATAAGTGCTAACTGATAAAAGATAATGCACTTCTACCTAACATGTGGTAAAAAGGTAAAATCAAAGATGAAAGAGGGAGAATGTACTAAAAAGGTAAAAATGAGGTTTGTTGACCCTAGAATTTTCATACTTTTGTCTTTGAAACCATTCATGGATTAAGGGGGAGCTTTGATAGTTGGTTTGCTATTATTGTGCAAAATAACAAGCGTTCTTTATTAACATGCTCAATGGAATTTTATTGCTCTCAAGTTTGCGTGCTTATCTTGATTTATGCTTTTTGATGTTGCCAAAGGGGGAGAAAAATATGAAAATTGAGAAAATTATACTCTTCCACCATATACTTATATCTTGGTTTGTAATGCTTAACTTGCATAATTATAATATTTTGGAACCATTCATAAATTGAGGGGGAGTATGATATACATTATTTGAGAATATTTGTTATACTAACCCTTTCTCAATTTTAAGTTTGTCATCATCAAAAAGGGGGAGATTGTAGATATAAGATATGTTTTGATGATAACAAAATGGCAACAACAAAAAGAGAAGATCTTTGATCAAGAGCAAAAAACATCAACCGTATGTGGATATTGAAGATGTATGATGTAGTCACACAAGAAGAGTAATGTCACATCAAAGTGGCAAGATCATTGGATCAAGAGCAACAAGAAATAATTCGAAGAGGAACACCAAGATCAAAGACAACTAACCATGGACAACATCTAAAAGAATCTCAATATCATAACCATGGTGAAAAATGATCAAAACCAACAAAGTGCCAAACATTGTCATATTCAACTAGTCAACACATCAAGTTCAAGTAAGGATCCAAGACACAAGACATATAGCTAAGTCTAAAATCATATTTGGAATATATCTTTAGGACTTAGAATATATGTGAGGGTATATGGTAGATTACATTACATGAGCTCAAAGTTTTTCTCAAAGTAAACGTGTTTTTCAAATTGCATAATCATAATCTTTATATACTTGAAAGAAATTTGAAAAATCCAAGGAAAAGATCCTTGACATATTTTATAACTTCAAAACATATTTATCAAGTCAAGATCTTTCACAAAAAGTGGTTGGAAGCAAGCTAGAACACATTTGAACCAAAAATCTGTTGCTTAATTTTGCTTCTGCCTTCCATACAACTTTTCGTATCTAAGATGATGGATTTGGATCTTTTGTTCTTCATAAAAATTGTAGGCCTTTCTTTTATCTTTTCAACGAGACCAAGATCACATCAATCCGACAAGTATAGCTCAAGTTATGCCCAAAATACGAAACAATGTTCTTGTTGTCAATAAAGTATTCCATACAACAATTTTGCTCCTTTTTGCGGTGTTTCCTGTTATTTAAACATATAACTTGAGTGAGAACATGATTGAGAAGGAATAATCAATATTTCTTGCATTTAATGACTATTTTCACTCATTTATGATTAATTCCTTGCTTCTTTCAAGTTAGAAAACATCATATGCTAGACGCACATCATGGCCCCACCATAATTGTGGACATTATGGTTATATTGTATGAAAGTATGTGGTATACTGTATATGTGCATTCATTCACATTCATATAGATGTTATATGATCTTGATGTTATGATGATGCACTGATGATATATGTTATGAGGATCCTGGCCAGTGATTAAGGTATGCAGGCTACCTATGACTTGACTCTGGGAGCTATTTCATACAGAGGTTATGTTGACTGTCTATGGCTTGACCCTGGAGTCACACATGTGTAACCGCCTATGGCTTTGACCCTGGGGTTACACAAGGACGATATGATGATGCTATGTTTATGTTGTATGTTTGTTATATATGCTTTATATCTGACTTGTCATGCAGTAAGTAGGCTTAGGGGATTAGAGGATTCTCTAAGAACCTTAAGTTTACTGAGATGTGGTTATCTCACCCTGTTTGGGGACATCATTTTAGGTACTCAGAGTAGCGGTCATGCTTCTAGAGGCAAGGCCCCTGCCTTGGAGTAGTTGATGATGCTGCTAATTATTTATATTATGACTAGACTCTGTGATGACATGTACAATCATTAACATGTCCAATTATCTTATGTTGAGATTATGTTATGTATTTACTTTGGCTCATGACTGTAGTATTGAAGCCGTGGATTATTTACTGATGCTTTGACGTTTTGAAATTTATATAGCCTTGATGTATGTATTCAGTTATTTGGATTTGCGAGCTGTCTGTTTAATTATTGTATCTATCAGATAGTTATCCGAATAACAGCCGTTATGCTGTCCGCGAGACTCCGTCAGGAATGATACTTAAGGTCATATCCGGATGGTCAACGGTCAATTGAGATGGCCAATGGTTTTAATTAATAGACTTAGACGTTAATGTGACGTTAATGCAATATATCAGATGAACGCTTGAAAATCTTTTTGAAAATATTTTCAAAAAAGTGTACTTGTATTTTATAAGACGCTTTATTTTTATTTAAAATAAATTCTTCCGCTGAGTATGCTAAAAATTATGGATGTTAACAACCGGAGTACTACAGGGTGTTACATTTATGGTATCAGAGCAGTTTCACCGGGACGTTCACTGATGTATTGCTTAAGTGTTGGAATTACCTGTTGAATGTCTTTTTAGTGTCATGATAATGCATATTTCATCACATGATTGAGCGTAGCTAACTCATACCTTGTGCAGTTGTGTGTGTAGATATCATGGCCCCGCGAGGGAGACCACGATGGGTAGTTCAAAACCCACCATCGAACCCCGTTGCTGCTGCTTTAGCGGCACTTCAGCAGACCTTGAACGAGACAAGGGAGGTTGATCTTAGAAGGATAGAAGAGGCTAGAGAGCGTGACAGAGAGCAGATGAGGAAAACAAGTGAAGACCTCATGGCACAGAACAGATTAGCCAATGCAGAGATGATCATATTACTTTTGGCCGAGGTACGTGGAGGACCTACACCACCTCCACCACCACCTACACCGCTGGTACAGCAGCAGGTTACGTAGATAGCAGTTTCGATGCCCGTGGTTGAGCCTGTCGTATTGGGACAGGAGGATATTGATGATGCCCATCAGGAGGCTGAGGCTTCTTTTCATAGGGGACGTGACATACCCCCTGTGGTTATTGTTGATAGATATGCTGGACCTCAGGGCTTTGATCGAGAGACCAAGGAACGTATGTTGAGTGCTTTCAGGAAGCATTCCCCACCTCACTACAAAGGTGAAGAGACCCCATAGCAGCATTGGAGTGGCTCCAAGAGATGGAGCGCATTTTTCAGGTTATGGTATTGTGATGCAAAAATGAAACTTCTTTATACTGTGTACATGTTACAGGGAGACGCAGCAGACTGGTGGAACAATGTCAGGCACCCATTGGAGTGCCAAGGATATGCCATTACTTGGTCACTTTTTGAGAGGCATTTTCTGATGAAATATTTCCCAGAAGAAGCTAGAGAAAAAAAGAAGAGTGAGTTTGAAGACCTTCGGTAGGGAGGCATGGCAGTGGATGAATATCTGAGCAAGTTCAATCGCTTGGCAAATATTCTTGTTATGGTAGAGCTCCTCTCACTCCAGAAGACAAGGCCTTTCGATTCAAGAAGGGTCTGAATGATATGATAGCAGAGAAGCTGGCTGGTCATTGTACTAGAGATTTTGTATAGTTAATCAGACAGTGCCATAATATTCAGGAATACTATCGTACCAGAGGTAAGGAAACAGTTGGAAAGAGTTTCAGTGGAAGGATTTTTCCCTAGAAGGGTAAGGGAAAAAGTTTGCAAGTACAGCAGGGTAACAGGTTTAAGAAGACTACATTTGTGAAGAATGGAAGCGGCACGTCTGGTGCAGGGAAGATCCCTACTTGTGCTAAGTGTGGGAAGGTACATCTAGGTGTTTGTAGACTGGGACATAATGTTTGCTTCAGTTGTGGTACGACAGGACACTATTCTCGGGAGTGCCCTAAGAGGACGGGGCAAGCTGCAGCCATTCAGGCAATTCCCATTCAGGCTATTCCTACTCAGAGAGCCAAAGAGGAGCCTTCGGCACCCACTAGTGCCAGGGTATATGCGGTGACACAGTAGGAGGCAGAGAGGTCTCCAAACCTGATCAGAGGTATTATTCTTATCAGAGGATATGCATTTGATGTGATGTTTGATTCAGGAGCTACCCACTCCTTCATATCAGGATTTGTTGCTAATGGGTTACAATTGCCCATTCATGAGTTCACGCCTCCCATGGTAGTGAAGACTGCCACCGGAGACATTACTTCTACTTCTTTGAAGTGCAAAGAAGTCAGATTTGTATTTGAGAAAGAAGAGTACATGGTGGATTTGATAGTGCTTGAGAGCATGAATCTACACATTATCCTGGGAATGGATTGGTTGGTCCATTATGGTGTGATGCTTGAGTGTTGTAATAGAAGGATTTTCTTTTCAACAAAAGGAGAGACGTCGGATAGTTTGTATTTGACAGCACCGCAATTAAATAAGGCTCTAAATAAGGGAGATGCAGGATACATTATTTTGGGAGGATTAGTAGGAAACTCCAAGGAACCTACTGCGAATATTCCCGTAGTGTGTGAATTTGAGGATGTATTTCCAGAAGAGATTCCACAGTTTCCACCAGAAAAGGAGATTGAATTCTCCATTGACCTATTGCCTAGTGTGGGGCCCATATCTTTGGCTCCATATCGGATGTCACCTGTAGAGCTAGTAGAGCTGAAGAAGCAGTTAGAAGAATTATCCTGTAAGAACTTTATAAGACCGAGTGTATCTCCTTGGGGTGCACCGATTACCGGCAACTAAACAAAGTAACGGTGAAGAACAAGTACCCTCTACCCCGTATCGATGATTTGTTGGATCAGCTTAGAGGTGTTTCAGTGTTCTCGAAGATTGATCTTCGTTCCGGATATCACCAGATCCGGGTAAAGGCAGAGGATATTCCGAAGACAGCCTTTCGATCCAGATATGGGCACTATGAGTATTTAGTGATCGCATTCGGGCTTACTAATGCCCCGGCCGTGTTCATGAGTTATATGAATCGAATCTTCAAACCATATCTAGATCAGTTTGTTGTGGTAATTATTGATGATATTCTGATTTATGCAAAGAGCAAGGAAGAGCATGTTGAGCATTTGAAGATAGTCTTACAGATTCTGAGGGAGCATCAGTTATATGCAAAACCATCTAAGTGTAAATTCTGGTTGCATGAGATTCTGTTTCTTGGTCACGTCATTTCATCTGCTGGAGTGGTTGTGGATCCTAGTAAAATTGAAGCTATGCTGGACTGGGAGAGACCCGAGAGTGTTACTGAAATCCGGAGTTTCCTGGGTTTAGCAGGATACTACAGGCGATTTATTAATGGATTCTCCAGAATCGCCTTGCCATTAACTAGATTGACCCGAAATGGGGTACCATTTGCATAGACCCTTGGATGTTATGTGAGCTTTCAAGAATTGAAAGATAAGTTGACTACTGCATCCGTTTTGATTCTTCCTAATCTGGAAGAGAGATTTGAAATATATTGTGATGCATCCAAGTATGGATTAAAGTGCATGTTGATGCAGGAGCAAAAGGTAGTAGCCTATGCTTCTAGGCAGTTGAGACCCCATGAAGAGAACTACCCTACTCATGATCTTGAATTAGCGGCTGTGGTTTTTGCCTTGAAGATATGGCGACACTTCTTGTATGGTGCTACGTTTACAGTTTATAGTGACCACAAAAGCTTGAAGTACCTATTCGATCAAAAAGAGCTTAATATGAGGCAAAGAAGATGGATGAAATTTCTGAAGGATTATGAGTTTGATCTTCAGTACCACCCTGGAAAGGCGAATGTAGTGGTTGATGCTTTGAGCAGAAAGATCACGGGTGTGGCTAGTATGATGATTGTAGAGTATGACTTGATTGAGGTGTTCAGGGATTTGAGAATTTCTGTGACACCACTTGAGACTTCATATTTCATGACTACAGTTGAAGTCTGAAATTCACTGATGGAGAGAGTTAAAGCGGCTCAAATGCTTGATGAAGGGATTCAAATGATGAAAGGGCAAGATTTTATATTTACCGATGCTTCTAATGTGAAATACTACAAAGATCGGTTAATGGTTCTGAAGGGACCGATGGTGGAAGAAGTACTAACAGAGGGCCATATGGGTAAGTACACCATCCACCCAGGTGCAACCAAGATGTATCAAGATTTAAAGCAGAATTTTTGGTGGTCTGGAATGAAGAAAGACATAGCCCAGTTTGTAAATAAGTGCCTTATCTGTCAGAAGGTAAAAATTGAGCATCAGAAACCTTAGGGTTTGTTACAACCATTAGAGATTACAAAATGGAAGTGGACGAGTATATCCATGGACTTTGTTGTTGGATTACCGAGAAGCCAGGCTGGATTTGATTCTATATAGGTTGTGGTTGATAGATTGACTAAATCCGCCCATTTTATTCCAGTCAAGACGACTTTCTCCACAGAGCAGCTAGCCAGACTATATGTCAGAGAGATTGTGAAGCTTCATGGCATTCCCGAAAGTATAGTCAGTGATCGGGATCCAAAGTTTACTTCACGCTTCTGGGAAGCATTATATGAGGCCTTTGGTACTCAATTGAGATCGAGTACTGCATATCACCCGCAGACAGATGGTCAGACAGAGAGGACCATTCAGACACTAGAGGACATGTTGAGAGCATGTGTGTTAGAGCAGGGTAATGTTTGGGACAAGTACCTGTCACTGGTTGAATTCTCCTACAACAACAGTTATCATTCCAGTTTAGGCATGGCTCCTTATGAAGCCTTGTATGGCCGTAGGTGTAGAGCACCTACTTGTTGGACGGAGATTAGATAAAGACAGTTATTGGGGCCAGACCTGGTCCAAGAAACTACAGAACAGATTGAGATGATTAGAGAACGGCTGAAGAAAGCACAAAGTCGTCAGAAGAGTTATTATGATGCAAAGCACAAACCCATTGAGTTCTCTGAAGGGGATCATGTATTTATTAGATTGTCACCAACCACAGGTGTTGGGCTTGCCTTGGGAGTGAGAAAGTTGAGTCCACGGTTCATTGGGCCATACTAGATAATAAAAAGGGTCGGACCGGTGGCGTATCAACTTTCCTTACCTCCCAACTTAGCGAATTTACATGATGTATTCCATGTGAGTCAGCTCCGCAGATATATATCTGATTATTCACACATTGTACAGCCTAATGACATAGAGGTTAAGAAAGATTTGAAGTTCGTTGTGAGACCTTCTAAGGTTCTTGCTCGAGATGAAAAACGGCTTAGAAATAGAGTCATTCGCATGATCAAGATTCAATGGGAAGGATTGACACCTGAGGACGCCACATGGGAGCGGGAGGATGATATTCTCCGGCGATATCCCGATTTTGATATCAGGTAAGATCCGATTTTGAGGACAAAATCTTTTTAAAAGGTGTGGTGATATAATAACCCTAATTTTATGACTTTTAAATTAGAGGGTTATGACGAGGATCTTATGGCCTTAAATAGAATGAGAATGAAATTCTAAGAA